GGACCGGCACACACCCGGACTGGCACACATGGACAAGCACACACCTGGGCCTTCACACACCTGGACCAACACGCGTGCAGCACTGTGCAGACACACCAGCACATGTGAGCTGTTGACATCAGGTGGGTCCTGTGATGAGTGCCCATGTAGGTGTGTGCACATGAACACGTATGTTCGCATGCGGTGTAACACATGAGTCAGACCTGGGGGGGGGGTCACCTGGATGTGCACTCCCGGCCAGCTGGCCCCCCGCTGTGGAGGCTGCTCTGTCCTCATGTGTGTACTAACGTGCAGACGTGTGCTTATGCCTGTGCAGACTCCCTGGTGTTCATCACAGACAAGTTCTGGGGCCCATCGGGCGCAGAGAATGTCATCAGCAGCGTGCACATGTGGCTGGCCGAAGCCATCAGCACCCTTCAAGACAACAAGGACACGCTCACGGCCAAGGTGCGGGCCGCAAAGGGCAGGGAGGGGCGTAGCCCCAGTGTGGCTCCTCCCAGGCCTGAGATGGCCCCCTGGGCCCCTGTGCTGTCCCCCCAGGTAATCCAGGGCTGTGGAAACCCCAGGGTCAACCCCCAGGGCCCTGAGCCCGAGGAGAAGCACCGCAGGGGCAAGCTGGAACCCCAGGAGAAGGCACCGTCCAACACACTGGAAAAGCTGGTGAGTGTCCCCGTCCCTCCAGGCCTTGACTGTGGCCCAAAGTCTGGCCACAGTCCGCCCAGCAGCTGCCTACTGCCCACAGGTCTCTGAAGCCAAGGTCCAGCTCCGAGATGCCCAGGACTTCTGGGTCAGCCTCCCTGGGACAATGTGCAGTGAGAGGGTGGCCGTGAGCTCTGCCAGTGATGACCGCTGCTGGAATGGGATGACCAAGGGCCGGTGAGCTGTCCAGCACTCAGCCTCCCGTGACTCAGAGCCCAGTCCTTGTTGGCATAAGATCCTCACGCACATATGACAGCAGGACACACAACCAAGAGGGAAGGATAGTGACCCACAGCGCTACGTGGGGGCCCGGGGCTGCTGAGGGGCTCAGACTGTTTAATGCCCATGTGATGCTGGCTCCTCTCAGAGGTGGGGACAGTGCAGGGTGGTCAGCTCCTGGAGGTGAGGACAGGGCTGGGAGGCCTCCTCCCCGAGCAGGGACAGTCCTAGGGTACTGTTTCCCTGAAGGGTGAGGGGGACGATTCTGGGGTCTCCAGGAGGGACAGTGCCAGGGTGCCACCTGGGGTGGGGTGTTAGGATGGGGCTTCTGGCAACAAGGCCTCTGCTGTCCGGCCCCAGGTACCTCCCTGAGGTGATGGGCGACGGCCTGGCCAACCAGATCAACAACCCCGAGGTGGAGGTGGACATCACCAAGCCGGACATGACCATCCGGCAGCAGATCATGCAACTGAAGATCATGACCAACCGGCTGCGCAGCGCCTCGGCGGGCAAAGATGTGGACTTCCAGGACGCCAGTGAGGCCCTGGG